CTTTGCAAAGTTTAAGAAGTCTTGCTTTATCGGGAAGTCGGGTGAGGCCGTAAAGGAACCCCCAGAAGCTCACGTGCTGCTCCATCTGCGTGAAGCGTTCTTCAATCGAAATCTTACGGTGTCAATCATCTCGTAGAAGAACTCTCGCTTGAATTTTGTCTCGATATCATTAACCTCGTCTTGGCACTCATAACAGAATTGACGCTTTTTCCGCCGCAGTTGGGGGGCCGGTTTCATCACAATGTCAACACCCATGTTCTAGGGAAGACCGTTCGCAGTTTCTAGTTGAAGTTTCGTACCCGACATCGCGATAATTGTCGATGTAATCGCTGCATGCTTTCATCAGCTGGGTGGTTGCTACGACGTCCTTTATTTTGCATTGCATGTTCTTGCTTACAACATTAACTGGAAAAAAGAAATGTCGTACCATACAACAATGTAAACGAGAAACTTAAGGTCCGTGAGCTTCTCTGCAAGAGTTCGTTCTTCATGTCGGACGCAACGGTCTGCCTGCTGTGATTCGGCCATTCTTGCGCAACATTATAAATTTAGTTGTTTTTAGCGGTTTTCGGGATTCTTGCGGCGGGTTTCTGAATTTTGAGTTGGCAACACTGGTCGGCATTGCGAGTCCAGAGTCGTCGCTGGTCGCTCAGACACACACAAAAAAGAAAGAGCTGCAGATCCAAAAGTTCTTTACACATATTATTTTCAGTCGGTTTGAAGCCTCTGGGCACAGAGACTCACCGGATGCCCAGGGGGCATTAATTCGTTTAGCTTACTGGTAGAGACTCTAGAGCGAGCGTTACCCAAAGGGCAGCTCGAATTCCGGGAGGAATCGGATTCATTTTACCCCCGGTCAGACCTCCTGAGCGAAGGCATTCCTCGGCTCAGAATAATTTGCAAAGGGCGAAGCCTACATTTCCTGCGAGTCAATCAGGGACTATGACCGAAGCACGTAAAACTAAGAGAAAACATCCGTTCCATTAGTATTTTGTCCCGTGACTCACTCCGACACTCTGATTTGCTCGCCGATGAGTTTGGCGCCACCGATTGATAACTTGCGCTAAGAGTGCGGCATGCTGGCTCCATCACTTTTTGCGAGTAGGTTTTAGTCCGCTCGTAATTCGAGAGCTGTGCGGAGGTGATCGTTTGCCTAGTCGTTCATGATTCATTCCATGGCGCTTTGAATCTCACGGAGGAGAGGTTCTCCATAGTGAAACATCCGCAGGTGGCTGCGAGTTGATGGACGTAAGTTATAACAAGAACGTAGTCGTTGGTTTTGCGGCCGAAATGCCAAACAGCGAGCGACACCACCTTCTTCTACATAGGGGGAGGGGGGGGGGGGGGGGGGGGGGAGGGCGCCCTTCGCGATGCGGTCGTTTTTTTTTTTTTTTTTTATTATATCCCCTTGAGGTTTGAGCCCTGCATGACCTGGCGGCCCTTTCGGCGCCCCCCTATGAATGGCGCCCTGTGCGCCTGCACAGGTTGCCCACCCCAAAGGCCGGCCCTGAGTATTTTACACTGCAAAACAGCTAACAAAAGCACGTTTCCGAAGACTCAACAGCTGGCGCATTTTCGAGTATCTTCCTTCCGTGTCGGTCTCGGGCGGTTATGTGAACTTCATAAAGTCAGATTTATCGATGATAATATAAACATACTTAATTCCTGTCTGAAGATTTGGCAGCATAAATAGAAGATCCTCATCTCAAAGATATATAAGTAAATGCACCTTCAAACTATCTGAAAGATGTTCTGCAAATATTTTTCGGCGCTTTTATCCTCTATAGACACGTTATAGATGATTTGGGAAAGCTTTAATTATTTTTTTTTTTATTTTGAAGCTAATTTAAATAACTATGTGTTCCTCACGCATATATAACTTCTAAAATATATAGAAGTTTATTATCGCGTTTTCTATGTGGTGAACAGAACTTTTACGTGTCTGTGGGTCGGACCAAAACAAAATACACTGGGACGAATTGTGGAACTATGACGATTACACACGCAAACCGTCAGAAAAAGTCCAATTAAGTAGCTTCCCAATCGAGTAGAGCATGAAATACCACTTTGTTCTATTTAACAAAAAACATCAATTAGCGAGGGTGATGCTTATTTGCAAATTAAATTCACCCGGCACCTTGTCAAGAACAAACCTCAACATCCAGGCTATGCCATTTTATCCAATATAAGAAAATGTTCACATGGGTAAGCACTGTTTTAGGCCAGATTATATCTCAGTACGAAGGTGCCCATAGATTAGAGTGAACAAGTTCAGTCACTCCTTTTTGCATGATTCGTCGCCCGCATCACGGTGCTGAGAGCAAACAATGCTGGTTAGAAAAACAAGCATTGCGATTGTCGCTTAGTGTTTCTATAAAATATGAACTGGAAGAACTTGTCCTGTGACTTTCGTGACATTTTGAAAATTATACTGCTTTAAGCTCAGTCGTCTCGTCATCATATATATACTGTGAAACGTATTCCGTATAACGCATTTCATGATATATATGGCGACGAGGTGCCCGTTTCATGATTTTATTCACTGTAATTAATTCCTTAGTTCAAGGGCAGAACCACGATTCAATCTCTAATACTGCGATGCAAAGTTGTACCAATCACGGGTATTTAGGCAACCTACTTCACTTCGCGAAAACATTTCGATTCAGGTACAATGTATGTGACTCTGGCAAACGAGGGGATGTTGAGTCGTATGAACACAACGTTTTGTATGTTCATGTAGATTTTCTTTTCTTGTTGTGTAGAAATAAATAACATAATTTTAAAATTTTGGTACCTGAAAATAAAACTGGATTGAACAAACGATAGAAAAAAGCTATATACTGTAAACGACTTATTTTTCGTGGGCTCAATATTTCGCGATTTGCGTCAAAGCTGAAGTTTTGGAATAACTCGGGGGTTGTAATTTTCTCGACGCGGTGGAATCTCAATATAAATTCCAATGTGTTTGCATTTTACCGAAATTGCTCGCGGGCCCCATTTTTCGTGAATTGTAGGCGATTCGCGAAATTCTCAAAAATTAGGTCCTCGCAAAAATCAGGTCTGAATAGTGCCTATTGACAGAACAACGCGAAAAATATATTCTTAATTTAGCGGTTCAAACCGGTTTGAACCTTTATTTTTTGCGCCCCGGAACTGAACCGGAACTGAACCGAAATCCATGAACCCGAACCCGAACGGAACCGATAAAAATATCGGTTCGACACTCTAGTTTAATATGTCAGGAGGGATGTTTAGTAAAGTTTTGTTTCTCGTATTCACTCTACGGTTACTGTAGTATCGGGACGTTTTGTCCTAGTGTCTCTTAGCATGACCACGACGTGGGAGGGAAGGACGCGAATAGGCCTCCCGGATCCTGGAGTATTTCTTGCACTTTCGTCTCCTTGTTTCGTCGAGTCGCTCGTAGTACGATAGAAGTGTTTACCCGAGCAAGGTATGAGCTCAGGAGCTTGGGTCCAAGCTAATCAGAATGCGGCCAGTGCCAGCAGTGCGCCGGCGCGGACGAGAAATATCGTGTGATCGATTCGAAAGACTCAACGTGAACGCGTGTTAGTAAATAAAGCCGCAGTGGCATATTCCATTTATATGCACGTGGATTCGAATTGTGCCAATAAAACGCAATGAATAAAATAAATGCCCCAAAACAACCGTGTAGGATTATTAAGCCTAAAAAAATACAGCAGAAGTCACCTTATATATATATATATATATATACATATATATAAACGAACATATGCAAATGAACCGTACTTAATCCAATGAATCAAAGAATCAAAGTTTTCAGGAACCCGCCGAAAGCCAAAAAACGGCGGAGCCAGGATTTTAACTCTGGGCCTCCCAATATCCGGTTGGGTCGATTTTCTAAACAAACAACACCTTTTTTTTTATTCACACTTAGGTAATATAGTAGTCTGTCAGGACCTACCAACAGAAATTACAATGTATTGTTTATATGGCCGCTATTAGGACTCGAATCTCGTGCTATGAGAGTTTTGAACGGGATTTCACATAGACGCTCAGCTGAGCAGAATTTTTACCTATGTAAGGTTTTCTATTTAATGTTAGTGCTTACCTCAATATCTGAGCGTAAAAGCCAGTGAAGCAACAATATTTATCCTTACAATATTTATTTACTTGGCACTGGGGAGATTTCCAAGGTGTGTAAGTTTTGCCCTATGTATTGACGGAGAATATGTGTAACATCAAGACTCCCGGACAAACTTAAGTCAAGAGGAAAAAGTCTAAGTAACCCGGCATGATCACTGAAAATAGAAATGAAACTTAAACACATGACTAACACATTTGAAGCCTTACACGCCACAAAATAGTCGTTATTTTGCGAAAGAGTCCGCATGTGCACAAAATAAACCGTACTTCCTAAGCGTCAGATACTAAATCGCACATATTTATGTGCACTAAATATCTGTTTGACATAAGAAAATATGACAATTACATGTGAAGTCCGGTATTTCAAACTCAAAGCCGAAAGCCAAAGGCCCCTGAGGAATTCTCTAACGATCTGCATTCCCCCGAATCGGGAGGAAATAAGCGCTGTGCCCGCACTTGTGGATATACGGACTTGTAAACTTTTTATTTATCTTCTTTTCGCGCTGTTTTTAATTCCGATGAATGTATTACTGATATGTCGCAAGTGGCCGACGTGGGTTGCGAATCTGTGGCCACACACTCTGGAAATGCAACAGTCGATCAGACATGCGGAAGTTCGTATTCAACCAAAAAATCCAATGTAATAAAATTAAAAAAAAACGCATCTAGAAAATTAGCACAAGGTCGAAAGAACAAGAGACTTGTTTATTCAGCTTTATTACTCGTGTCAATTGTGCAATAAGACTTCGTTCTTCTTCAGAAGAAACTTTATGGTGCACTTGATCTTGGTTACAAAATAAAAAGACCTACCGTAAAATTAAGCTTTTTTCAATGCTGGGAGTACATTTTTTCCCAATAAATGAACCGCCTGGCTTTTAGAATTTTATAGTAACTGGAAGCTTCTGGCATCCCACAGTTTTCCCACCGTCTTGTACCTCGAACATAATGTTGATAGTTCCATTCTGTAAAGACCAGTGCGAAATAAACAGATTAAAAATTCGCGTGTTAAGGACCAGAAGAAGTGAAGTTGAGTGCAGTAGAAATAAATACAACTTCTTCGGAAGATGGTGTGTTTAGGGTCAGATATCTGCATATTTACGTCTCATTATTGGAGGGCCGCTGCGAAGATTCGTAGTGAGGCTGTCAGATACGGAAAGAAAGGGATACAATTTAGCTAGAAATCAATCATACAGAAACATGGCAGGCCACGGGGAAGAAAAAAGAGGTGTCTTAACATAGCCAGCCAAGGCGGCAGAAGTTTCTCGGGTTTGACATATCTCCCGACAGGAGCTCTGTAGAGCAGTTCAAGAGGACACAGCAGAAGGCGTGCCACGACGCAGCATCGGCATATGCCATGAAAGTTGCTGCGCGCGCGATCGCTTTCAGTTTATATGTCAACCACGCAAACAGCACGGTTTTGCTCCTCTCCTCCTTGCTGTCGTCTCTTCTCCTTTCTTGTTTTCAGGAGATTGAGGACCGAGAACAACAGCGGAGGCAGTGACGACGGGCAGCAGAGCGTGTAGTGGCTATCCGCATCTACGTGATGAGCAAGCTGTAAGCCTCTATTCAAGGAGGCAAGCGGAAAGAAGCGTTCCTTCTGTCAAGTGTAAAAATGATTTTCTTGAGTTGCTAGATGAAAGCTAGAACCAGATTTTTTATACTGTGTTTCAGATTAGTAAAATGTAGAATTACCTATGTTCGTTTTTTGCGATATTATTATGTTATGCGTGACTGTTGCCTGGCGCATTGAATAAAAAATCTATTTAGTTTTTGAACCGCAGACTAGCCTTTAGATGAGTCCAAACACTCTATATTTTTGTGACATATTATGAAATAAACGATCAAAAACAAATGAAATGAGCGAATAAAGAAAAGCGTACAAAAGCGGATCGGAGTACGGCATTTGCACCGGAATTTAGAAAACACTTGGTCTGCTCTGAGGAAGAAACACGATATATCTGCCGTGTCCTGTTTGGACATTCCTTAGGGGCTGACCAAACAGGAGACTTCAAATGGCGTGAAGCTACATGGTACAGTCTTATTGCGTACTGCAATTTGTTTTCGTCCGTTATTTTCATCGGGAGGAAAGTTTTTATTGTTCTCCTTGACGTAGGTTTGGAGCGTGTTCATCACGTGAGTTCGGACAGTCACTCACGAGCTCAGTTGGCTATCATTCTTCGCAGTTGTTCAGGTTTGAGCCTCCCAGAAAAGGGAAAGGAAAAGATACGAGTACAGAACGCTGTAATACGAGGGCGAAGAGGTGAAACCTCTTTGGCCTTCTTCCTGTGGCGACGGCGGCCGCGGGAGGGAGGCCGCCGTCGCCACAGATGGAGAGGCACACCATTGGTAGGTGGTGTGTGACGTCAATTCTGACGAATCCTGACGTCACGAAAGAGCCTAGCAGGCGAGGAGGAAATTCGTACTTTTCGTTTGGTTGATGTCCAAACTGAAAGCGGACGGGCGGACAGCAACTTTTACTTATACGCTGGAGTTGTTTCGCTTCACGCCATTTGAGGCGTCCTGTCTGAACAGCCCCTTTTTTAGAGGCCCTCGCGGTGGCGCCCTCGCGAGTCACGCAGCGCTCTCGGCCTTGAGAACGTGAGCGAATAAAGACGGCTCCTCGAGTGTTTCCCGTGGGTCTCCTACTACCCTAGAGGTGTTGCGCCATCTGACGGCATTTGTCAGAATCGCGAGCGAACCTTCGATGCACTTGTTTCATGGCGAAACTGCGCCGTTCAGACGCCTCTCTTCCATCGTGGTGGCCCTTCATGCGACTTGAATAAGGGTCATAGTTTTAGAGCGTTCAAAATTAACACAAGCGCATTTATTTTTCCCTGTAGGCTGGATAGTTCGGAGGAACTGCACAAAAAAAACCTTCGGGACCGTACAGAAAGTTTGAAAAAGTCTCAAAGAAAACAAGCTCGGCGAATGGGCCCGAGAAGGCAGAGCAGCCCCAAACGGCCAAGAAAGAGGAAATAAAAAGTTCAAAGTTCGAAGAAAAGCGGCTGTCAAATTTGCTATAAGTGCCACCAGCCAGGACATATCGCTGCGGGCTACCGGCGAGCAAGTGTATCTGTCAATCTGCTAACGGAAGAGAGTGACTTGCTTTTGCTTGACACATAGATATGACTGTAAACGGCGTCAGCTGCAAAGTGTTGCGAGACAGGGGTGCAACTTTCGGTGTCGTTCACCCGTCATTCGTTCAGCCAGAACATTTAACAGGGGCAGGCACTCGAAACAGGCACAAAGTGCTTGCCGGTAGCGAAAGTCGAAATGGAAGGCGCCTTTGTCAAGCTCCAGACGAAAGCCGCCGTTTCGGATAAGCTTCCTCAGAAAATTCCTTACATTTTTTTCCAACAAGTCAAAGCGGGGACTACAAAATGCAGGGATGGAGCTAGACGTGAAGCCCGTCATGGTGATAAGAAGGGCGCACACGAAGCGATTGCAGGAAGCTACCATGACGGAAGCTGTCACGGTATCGGAAGAAAATGACGCGAGCGAGACAGTCACCGCAGTTCCGTCCGCGACTGAACCAGAGCTCGACGATAATGAGGCCGCAACTTCTCAATCCAATCGAGAGCTGATAAGCCCAGTCAGCGAAAACTTTCAGCTTTTGGCGAAGGTTGATGATAAACACAGGCTAAGAAAGGAACAGCCCGACGATACGTCACTGCAATCGTGCCGGGAAAAAATTCCACGTAAACGCGAGGGAAGCACTTCTTTTGTCATGAAAGACGCTATTTTGTACCAAATGTTCAAGAACAAGCAAGGCCGTTCTCTCGAACGGCTAATCTTGCCGCAGAAGTATCGTACGGCGCTTTTGGGCTTGGTTCACTTTGACAGTTTGGCTGGTCATTTAAAATAAACAAAATCAAGAGCAGGTTGCTAAACGACTACTACTGGCCGATGCGCTTCAAAGATTCTGAGAACTGGGTACGCTCGTGCAATGTTTGCCAAAGGACGGGTTGATCAAATGAGAAGGTCAAGGCATATTTGGTTCAGGTACCCATAATTGGTGAACCATTCTGTAGGTTGGTGGTGGCATTGTTGGTCCTTTACCGCCAACTGCAGCAGGAAACAAGTACCTGCTGACGCTACTTTGTCCTGCAACAAAGTTCCCGGAAGCCGTCGTTTTAGCCGAGCTAAGATCTACAGCAGTCGTTAACGCGCTGCTCGGCGTCTTTTCGAGGGTGGGATTTCCAAGCGAAATCCAATGTGATCAGGGTTCAGTCTTCACCAGTGCGCTGACCGCAACCTTCCTAGGGAAATTTGGCATAGCCAGCCACCACAGCTCCGTGTACCATCCGAGTTTCACTGGGTAATGAAGCGCATTTGGCGTGCGCTTTGTTACGAAAAGAAAGCGGATTGGGACACAGCTGTTCCGTCAATGCTTTTCGCATTGCGCTCTGTCAGCCACGAGGCGACTGGATTTACTCTCGCAGAAGTAGTTTACGGGCGCGCACTAAGATCTCCGTTAACCATGTTGAAAGACAAGTGGGAAGACAAATTCGCCGATAAAACGGTCGTCGAGTAAGTGCTCGCCCTATTGAAGCGCTTGCGCGAATCGCAGAAATTGGTCGAACTGAACATGAAACAAGCATACCAGCGGGCGAAAAAGTGCTATGACAGGAACGCTCGGAAACGAACGTTTAAAGAAGGTGACAAAGTACTTATTCTCAAGACGTCCAAAGCAAATAAGCTGTTAGTAGCATGGGATGGTCCGGTGGTGGTGCAACGAAATATTTCTGACACTATCTACTTGGTGACGTCTCCTGGAAAGCGGAAGGAGGTGATAATCTATCACTGTAATTTAATGAGGCCTTTTCTCAAACGCACCGAGGTCGTTAGTATCGCTCTAAATGAGCCTGAAGAAGTTCTCATACCAATCCCGCCACTGCCATCCCCATGCTCGCTGCTTTCTACAGAAGAGATATGAACAGGGACAACTGAAGGTGCACGGTTGAATACACAGCAAAGGGAAGAATTAAGAGGTGCTAGACTCGTACAGGGCTTTGTTTAGCCCGCGTCCAGGTAAAACTAACCTGTTACAACATGACATCGAGTTTACCTCTGATCAACCTTTCCGTACGCGAGTGCGCAGAATTTCACTCCGTCATGAAAAGCTGTTGAATGAATCCGTCCAAAACATGCTGCACTTGGGGATAATTGAGCCAGGGGAAAGTGATTACATCTCCCCGATGTTCATTGTCGAGAGTGCCGGTAAAGAACCGCGGCCATGCATAAACTACCGAAAACTCAACGTGATAACTAAAATAAAAGTGTTTCCCATCCTGAACGTTGAAGCACTTCTTGAAAAAGTGTCGGCGGCGCGGTACGTGTCAACACTGGACCTCGTGCGGGGCTATTGGGAAGGGGATCCGGCCAACTCGTCGACAACCCATTCGTCGAATAGGGCAGTCCGTATTAGGGCAATTCGTCGAAGGGCGACTTGTCGCATGGGAAATTTGGTCGAAGGGCGATTCGTCGAATGGGTTGAATGACGGTCTAAGGTAAAAGTTCGTGGTTCCTTTTTAACTTCTGACCTAAATTTTCATTTGTTTTTGTACTTTAAGTTACAAGATTGAAAGAAAAATTACAAGAAGGCAAAGACAGGAGAGAACCTTTAGACAAGTTGAAAAATGTGTCATCTCACGATCGTCCCTTTGTTGCCTTTTTTATTACTTATTTTGTAATGAGCCGCCGCAGACTGTCGCCGCGAATGGCGTGAACGGGTGAGCCATCGACAATTTTGTAATGAGCCGCCGCAAACTGTCGCCGCGAAGCGGCGTCGACTGATCGGCCGGGTAGGTTAACACGCGCCCCAGTGATACACGAGCGACTTAGTGACCCTGCCGCACAGCACCGTGAAAGTGGCGAAAGCGGCAAGTTGTTACCTTCGACAAGAAAGAGCAGACTGGAGGTCAGTTTTTTAAGGAGAGCGCCAATGGTTCATATTTTTTTACGAAAGAGTTACACATAAAAGACAGAACACGGATTATTATAGGGCAATATTTTCTTTAAAATGTAAAGAAAAAAATTATATACTTGGCTTTAAAAAAGCGGCGACCAGTTGGCCTCTTCGACGAGTTTTCCTTCGACGAGTTGCCCTATGACGAATGGGCCTATTAGACGAATGAGCCGCCGACGAGTTGGCCGTCGACGAGTTGCCTTTCGACGAGTTGGCCTAGACCCATTGGCAAGTGCCTCTCACGGAGAGCGCTAGTAGGCTGGCAGCTTTCATAATCCCTCTAGGAACGTTCCGCCCGCTTGTCCTTTCTTTTAAACTTAAGAACGCGCTCTTTGTTTTTTCCAAGCTAATGAGCGAAGTGCTCAAGGGTGCCGAGTCTTTCGCAGTTCCCTACCTCGATGACGTGCTATTTTTTCTAGTAGCTGGCAGCAGCACTTGCAGCACGTGCAGGAAGTATTCGCTAGAATACAGAAAGCAGGATTAACTCTGAAAATGGCCAAATGTCATCTCGCCCATGCTGAAGTTCAGTATCTGGGCCACGTTGTGGGCCAAGTGAAGCGACGCCCGTCAGTAATAAAGGTTATGGCCATAGCGAATTTTCCTTTGCCGAAAACAAAGACGGACATGCGCTCTTTCATCGGTTTAGCCGATTATTTCCGAAATTACATTTCTAATACTGCGTATGTCGCAGGCCCATTCACGGAAGCTCTTCACAAAACAGAGCCAAATGTCGTGCGCTGGACTGAGGAACATAAGGACGCCTTTTTTAGGATCAAGGAGCTTTTAGCGAGCGATCCTGTGCTGACTTCACCAGACTACACGCGCACCTTCATAGTGCAGTGCGACGCGAGCAACCGTGGTTTGGGCGTTGTCCTCAGTCAGGTAAACGAGAAGGACGAGGAACATCCTGTTGTATACGCCAGCATAAAACTAATAACGCGCGAACGGGCATTCAGCACAGTAGAAAAGAGTGCGCTTGTATGGTGTGGGCTATCGAAAAACTCTCGTGCTATCTGAAAGGATCTTTATTTATTTTCGAGACTGACCACTGCCCTCTCATGTGGCTTAATCAGATGTCAAACAAAAACGGTCGTTTAATGAGGTGGAGCCTGGCACTCCAACAATTTACTTTCACGGTGCGGCAGAAGAAGGGCGAAAATCACGTCAACGCCGATTGCCTGAGCCGCATTCCTTAGTGTTCCTTATAGTTCTGCAAAAAAGTCCCCACAGAAAATGGTTGTTTTTTGCGAATTTTAGTTGGCGATTTTGCAATGTTCAGGCTTATGACTGCACTTGAATTCGTCAAGAAAGCGCGTTGCATTATTCAGCTCCTAATGATTTCAAGGGATCTGTACTTGCTGAGTTGTGGCGCCGGATTGCTTCCAATGTCGTTTCTGCCGCTCGTCTCCCAAGCCATTTCAGCTCCTCGGCTTGCTGCTGTCATGCCCGAGCTGCAGACTTCCCGAATGTTTGGGTCCTTTCTGGCTGTCTTGCTCATTCAAACCCCTCTCCTGCCACTTCCAAGCTTCGGAGGCACAGCAATGTCTTGCGCTTCAGCAGCCTTGCCCGAGGACAGAGCGGCATCTGCGCTTCAGCACTCTGGCCCGAGCCACCCTTCCAAGACCTGGCGACAGTGGCCTTCTAGCCTGGTCACTTGCCAAGACTCGCAAGCGTACTTCTATGAAGTCGTCGTCTACCAAGGCCTTCAGCGTGCTACATGCCTGTCTCCTACTCCTCCAGGAAGCACGGACTACGTCGAGGTTAAACGGCCGCAAGTCGGCTCTCGCCATTTTGGATGCTTCGACAGCTTCTATGTCTGCAGTTACTCAAGACGCGTCAGCCTGTTGGCCAACTTCCGACCTGGGTAGCTTTGGCCGAGCTGTAACAATAGCGGTGCTGGGCTACGCTATGCGTTTTCTCGGCTTCCTGATAAGATTAGTTGGAGCGGCGCGCGGGGTTGCATTTCTTTCTTTTTTTCCGGTCCTGATTAGATACAGAATCACCAAAAGCCAGTTTGCTTTTACGATAAAGACACATCGTCTTCCAGCAGCAGAGAGAGTCTGTCTGTTTCCATCAGCAGCCGTTCCGTCGTCGAACTGCCAGAAACATATACGCTACCAACTGAGCTAACCAGGAGTTAGACATCAGTAAAGCAAACGGGTTTTATCAGCTGCCACCAGCTGATAAAACCTGAAATAGTAGTATGTACTTACCGGACGTACTATTTCCGTACTAAAGTACAAAAACGTTTGAGAAAAAAAAAAGAAAAGCACGCATTTGTTTTTAATGCCTGCAACATCTCGCCATGGTTGTTCTGCCAAAGCACACATCTTCTCACACACGTCTCCTACATGATTGCACTGAAATCAAAGAACGAACTGCAAACATTGTACAGCACTTCGGCTGAGGGCAAATCTCCTGCAACATGCCTTTCAACTACGCAGCAGCTACCGCTGTCAATCGCAGCACACTTTCTGTGGCCGTTTGCTATTTTTGTTTCTATTGTTTGTGTGTACTGTAAGAACTGGGACTATACTTACCCCAAGAAACGACTTCGCAATTTCGGGCAGTTCACCACTAACGGACTGAGTGTAGGAATTTGGTTCGATCGGGCACTCGTTGTTCCATAGTGACCCGAGCATTTGTTCGGCAATGCTAGTGCCGCCGCACAGGTCGTACGTGCTGGAACAGGACACAGATTAATGAGAGAAAAAGAAACGTAAGTCACTGATAACCATGCAGTTAAAGTTACTATACGGCGCGCAAGTTCCCCTGCTTTTGGCGCATCTCGTGTGTTTGTTTCGCCCCCAAACGATCTCACGAGCTTCTGTTTGCCCCCGACCTCAACCATTGGCGGCACGCCCTTGGCTGCCTCGTCATCGTGCATTTCCCGCGGGTTCTCTACGTTGCCATTTGATCGGTGTACTCCTCCTCACTCTCCGATGCGCCGAAAACGCATGTTTTAGAACACTTGCTCACCGTATAGTCGGTGACAGTTTAAGAGTTAGGGGAAGCTCCCCCACCTCTTTCCGCTTTAGCAGAGAAATAAACATGGAGAGGAGGCGACTTTCTTTTCAGCGTTCGCTTTTCTAATGTAGAAAGAGTGGAGAGCAGTTTCCCTGAACTCTTAACCTGTTACCAACAACTCAGTTACGGAACCCCCACAGAGAATAAACCCCCACAGAGAGGCGATCCCCTCCCCCTCCCCCCCCCTTTCCCCAAAGGTCACCACCCGTCGTTCGAAGCGCCATCCAGGGGCTGTAATCCAAAATTGTATTCTTCGGACTCGCTCAATAAGCAGCCGTAGTAAAACAAGTCCTACTCCTCGCGTAGCATTACTAATTTCCCTATTTATGCGGATAATTAAGATGTATGCAGGTGAGGTTTTGATTATATATCTTATCAAGATATACAAGTCCGAAACGCCGAAAGCATCGCTTTTTCCTTCGATAACCCAATCTTGTAAGAATTACTTCGCACCGCGTATGAACAATGAGCAAAACTTGCTTTTTCCTTGAGGTGAAAAAGGGTATACAAGCCAAGAACTGAGCGGCTGCGCCTCTCCACCAAACATCTTCACTAGTTGGTCCAAACAGAGCCACCATAGCTTGCGTCAGCATAGCCGCCCGCACGTCTCGCAGCGTCTCACAGCGGGCGGCTATGATGTCAGAATGCCAAACTCTCGTTGGCCGATTGAAAAAAGAAAAAAAAAAAAAAGAAATAGTGTGTAGATTACAAGGCATTTAGAATTGAGGTCTACCCACTATCCTTCCAATCATAGCCAATCAGATCTCAGCGTCGTTCTGACGTCACCGCAATCACTGCGCCAGAAGCAGACGACTTGCTCTCCGCATAGGACGTGGCGACGCCAATGCGAACGCGTCTGCCGCTTTGCGGCTTATCGAGCTTCGACATGTTAGCTGCTTGGGGCGGGTCGAAGATCCTCTAACAATGACGTCAAGCGTAGGCCTTCTCTCTAAGGTGGTGTTTAGACACTCGGTGAAGCGCCATCTGGGCGCTGTGCTTCAAAACCAATGTAACATAGTTACCCCGGCAGCCGTCCCCAAAACGATGGCGAGTCGGACGGCTGGATGCGGACCTTGGGGGTAACTGGCCGTGGAAGCGCCTCTATGGGCCCTTCCGTAACTGAGTGGATTTAAACTTTCTTTCGGCCTTAACCGCTCATTCACACTGGAGGCGGATCCGCGTTCGCAAAGCGGTTGCGAACGCAGTTGTACAAAGATCCAGTACAATGGACCTTTTCCACATACCGACGGCACCAGGCGGTGGCTGCACGAACTAAAAATCGAGGAAGTGACCTACCTGCGCTACCAATGGATAATGGGAGCAACGGTACCAGTTTCTTCGCTCTCTGAGCAGCGGCGCCTGCCCAACGCGACTTTAAAGAGGGGCATCCGTGGCGTCCACCCAAACGTCGTGTTTTCCTTTCCGTCGACGTTCTTTTTTTGTGTAACACAATTATATATATGCTGCAGTTACGGGTTCTACTCGCTGTTGTACAGCCTCCTTCCGAATTCCCTCGATTTTTCGTTCCGACCTCCGCCGCTTGGCATCGGGCGCTCGCGCGTGCGCAGAACGCTTTTCGGAAAGGGTCCGTTGCACGCGCGCTCGATGTGCAACTATGTGCGTGTGCGTGTGCAATTGTACTGGATCTTTATAAAACCGCGTTCGCAACCGCTTTGCGAACGCGGATCCGCTCCCAATGTGAATGAGCGGTAAGTCCGAACACAGCCGACTCTACGAGTCGATGGAATCGGTCACATAGCTTAAAAAGTGAAACGCCATGCATACAGTTTTTACTTTCTCGCAGTCATGATCGTTCCAAGCTATACTTTAGCATCTGCTATATATTTTTACCTTCAGCGCAGCGAACGCAGCGTATCGCCGAACGTGCGCGCCTTTCTTTGGCCGACAAGCAGGAACTCGATATCTGTGACCAATCAGTATATGTGTGCGCAGCGCTACGCCGCCTTTGCTACGCTCGACGTCGGAGCACAGCAGAGCCCTTTGTTTCACTTCTGGGCGCAGGAGACGCCACGAGTTGATGAGATCAGTTAAATAGCGTATATAGCGCACCAAACATGGCGCTTGTTATGTTGTTTTACGCGTTTTATCATTGCTGAATCAATCATGTGCGGGAACGACTCAGTGACTCGCGTATTTGACAGTGTTTGATTGGTCCCATTTCCTTTTAATGAAAAAAACAGTGAGTGCGCAGGCGAGCTGCTGGATGTTGGTCATGATGTAGAATACCCGAAACTGTGGTAAAAGCTGGGTACCTTGGTCGAAGAAAAAGACAGGCGAAACGTTGAGACGTTCTTTTCCCCTGTCTTTTTTCTTCGACCAAGTTTCCCAGCCTTTACCACAGTCTCGGGTATTCTACCTCATGATCCTTCTCATATCGGCTAGGAGGAATTTCTCTACTTGGTTTCACTAATCGTAAGTCAGGGCTCAGTCGAAGGCTAAAAAAGACGCGCAAGCGCGTAAACACAGACCAAAATCTCACTGTCGCGGACGGTGCACTTTTCAACTCTGATGGAATTCGGTGCGAAGAAAAAACCTAAAGGGGTTGAAGACCAGTCCACAAACTTGCGACCACTTACGACCGCGAGCGCCTTCTTAGGATCTCTTATGGGTGAACACACTGACGCCACTTATCCGGCGGCTGTGGAAACTCGTGGCATTTTCGTATATTTACCATCGTTTTCGCGCGTAATTTTTTTTCTTGTGAGGAAAAGGGGGGGGGGGGGGGGGTTGACAATCGTTTGCTACTTGTATGAACGACCATTTCTCATAGGATCCGTACATTTCATCACCGAAATACCGCAAAACCTTCGCTATAGAGAAATGCAGTTCTAGGATGAAAGATTGCAAGAGCTCGGTTCGAAGCCGATGCAAGTGTGGGTGGACGGGCCTTTATACTTGGGACCGCGTTGGGCGTTACGCGAGCGCTCGTAGCCAATCCAATGGGTGCGACAGCCACATGACTTTCTTGAGGGGCGTAGAGACTCGCGGGGCGCCTTTTGTCGTGATACATTTATACGGGGCATGATTATATAGCTCGTAGCGTCCGCTCCGCCCCATTGCAGGTTACAACGGGATGCAGCCAACAACAGCATATGTGTGACATGGCGGATTTTCTCGTTTGCTTCTATGGGTCAGCGGGGCTTGAGCCCGGAGTTTAGCCTCAAAGTAGCCAATCTGATTATCCGCCCCGCGTAGGTTTGGAAACAATAAAAAAAAAGCCCCGCGTAGGTTTGGAAACAATAAAAAAAAAAAGCCGTCACTAGACAGGAATATTCTAACGATGCAATATATAGGAATACATGTATCACCATGCCGTACAGTATATACGTACCAAGAACCGATAAAGTTTTGTATGCAGTCTATTTCTTGCCCGTCGTTTTTCGTCACGGTTACCGTGAGTTGAGGACTGCTGTTTAGTTCTTGGGTAATGTCCAACGTGAAATCCAGAGTCATCGTTTGTCCCAGCACAGCATTTGTGAGTTTAAGGTCGCTCAGCTTGAAGGCTTGAGCATCTGCAAGGCAAAATCAGTCAGGCGATTTGGCATAGTCGGGCAAACTTGCATGTGCGCCAGGATCGAAATGAAACACCTTAAATGCTCTGATCCCGCGAGCAAAAATAAAGCTTTTTATCATTTTTTGTGCGCATTATTGTTTAGTTCAACATCTCTACAGTCGCTGACAGGTTAAGAGATCAGAGAGGGAAAGGAAGGCTGGGGAGGATGATGCAGGCGGAATGCTGGAGCGAGGAGGTTTTTTTTTCGTTATCTTTCAGCAATCCATCTGCTTCCTCCTCCCCGCCCTTTTTTCACCCTCTCCGTGAGCTCTTAACCTGCCTCAGACTATAGACCTTTCCAGCGGCAGTCTCGAACAAAGCGATTTCCAGCGCGCGTCCCTGGTTTTGAGAGTGTACGTCAGTGTTGCCCGACTGCGCTGAGCTGTGGGTTTTCTCGTCAGTAGGCTGTGGCAGCCTGCGTAGGAGCAATTTTGAACGCTGGTGGTGGCAAGATTGCCTCGCATTATTTTTTCTTTTGTGTTCTATGGCGAAGAGAATTTCTCGAAGTTATTAAGAAAGCGTTGAACTATTTTTGGGAACAAAAACAAACAAATGAAAGCTATTTACGGCGAGTCCGTGCGCGACAGAACAAATGCAACTGGGATGTTTGTTTCATTTTAGGCTGATATTTTTAACGGCACAATACGTTCAGCCATGTCAACTTACAAAGATCTTAAGTGCCTAGCATATTTGACCACACCAGAGGATAGCCGGACTGCATGCGCATTGCCTACTCACTATATGAAATTCAACGAGTCTCATCAATCGAACAAGATATATTGTACGCACCCCACGGTGCCGCGTTATCCGAACAGGATTTGAGAATGGGCTGAAATAACACAGCATATCCAATATACAGTGTCGACGATAGTCACTTCACGACGATCGGACGGAATCCGGCTTGTCTTGGAGTACGCTTTGAAGAGTGATGTTTTTTTACACAGCACTAAAGCAAATGAGCGAACGTGTCTATTCAGTTCCCATACCCCGGACCCTATCAGCTACTTCTCGCCTAGAACGGGAACATAGCCGGGAAGGCTTTTCGGAGATTATCTCAACGGAAATAATCCTCAAAGAACGTCGAACGGCCCGCGTCGCGGGCTGCCTGACGTTCGCTCTCTTCGCTCGCTCTCTTCGTTTGTTTCCTGCGAAGGTCGATCAGGCTACGAGCCCTGGTATTCCCTGGTTCTCAGAGCGGAAGATTACAAAAACACGCAAGCGTCCTGAACAGGCAAATAGAGTAAACTCTTTCAAGGAAAGCCGGCGAACTCCGAACACACAATGCAGGTGGAGAGTCGCGCTGACCGGGTTTCCACAGCTCAGGCGGGTGGCAGACATTTCTGGCTGATAAAGGTCGCTCGAGTCGCAAAATGGCGGAGTTAAAGTTGTTCCTCCCGGTGTTGTGGGAGGCAGGTTCCGCTTCGATGGTCTGGAGCGTGGTGGCACGAACGTCGCTGAGTGACGGGTCGACTCACTGCTTGAATAGAACTATGTGCATTTATTTACACTCTAGTTACAAGTCCCAACTTGGGAAACCATCCTGCCTCGTCTAAAGTCTCGACCCCCGTCCCCAATTTCTCTCCATCAAATCCAAAGTCCGAATCCCCCAAAATCCTCTCCGCGCTACTTTTGTATGCACGTAGGGGCCTCCTTTCCCCCCAGGAACCGACCAATCACTTCAAATTCCGCCACTCACACGTGGTACACTGTTCTCCAATGGTCGGCGAGCTGTCATTTTGGCGTCCTAACCGCCAAACCCAAACTCCTTGTAGAGTTGTTCTCTGCTATTTTCCCAGCCTGACTGGCGCCAACCGCTAAATTATTGCATCGGGCAAAAAGGACAATTTTACACTAAGCGGCAAAACCCTCTGCATACACGCACATTCGGTTATAAGCCACAAGCATCTTCCAGCGCGGGCTCTTTCGGTCCCGGTCCGAGCAGACCCCCGAAACCCGAGACGCTTCTTAACGACCGCGGGGGGGACCGCTCCCGCGTCGCGGCCGCTCTGGCCCCGCCGACCCAAACGTAGAAAGCTAAAAAAACACAATGCCGACGCAACTCTGGAAAGATAAACTTTCCTAACCAAAAGAAAACACGTTAATTAATAAGCAGGACTCCTAAATACTTAACTGGCGGCGGCCAGCGATCTGTTTCTGCAAAGGTCTATAGACGAAAACGCTCGTGAATGTAAGTAGGCTATTAGCGATCTTATTTGTCAAGTTCGAGTATCTAACTTAAGACATATAATCGCGGCTCGTGTATGGTTTGGAACCATTTCGTCAAGGTAGGCCAAAGTAGTGGCTATGCTTAAAAAAAAGGCTTTTGAAAACAATGTACCTTTGAGTTCTTAGTGCCAAATTTAAGATCTTCAGAAACCAAGACGCCGAAATTTAGCTGCACAAGGGCGAGAAACGTTTCTCCCAGTATTGACTCCCCTTACCGAGTAACATGAATCCGATCTGACGAAGGCGCGATATCCGGAAGTTACGTGATCACAGATAAGCCCTGTCGTGCTTTGCTGTCTTTTTGAAAGCGGAGCTTTTGGTGCTCGTTTTCATCGGTACGGTGTGCTTTGCAGGTCCTAACCCCACGACTAAATAGAGATGAAGAGGGTTCGTTTTTCAAGTGGAATTTTCCTTAAAATATCGCCCATCTTCGTTTTGCTTTTATTATGATCGCAAAAAAGTTTGTTTTCCAAAATTAAAATATTTTTGAAAATAAAGCCTGTGTTATTTATTATTGATGTTGTGAGGGTGCTCAAGAACAACACCTACTTCATCTTCATGATGATGATCATCACTACCGTTCTCAATTCTTCGATATTCACTTTCTCTGATCACTCAATAAGAAGTCGCTCAATAAATCTGTCCCCGGAATTCCCCATCTTGTTTTCACATTATTATTATTATCTTCAAATGTGACCCGTGTACCTTTCTCGGAAAGAAACAATCACTTGCTCTTTTATAAGAAAAAATAATATACCCCAACGGCTGGACCAATCTATATATTTCTTTACTTCAGCACTACGGCAGTGTGTCTTAAAGACCGACCAACGAAATTGCCCCTCGCGCCCTCCTCTTTTCACCCTCTCCCTAAAATCTCGTGATGGCAGGGGCTTCTTTTGTGTCGGCTTTTTTTGTAGGGATAATTCTCAAAAACCGCGAAATGAACGGCTAGCTGCGAGCGCCACAACGACCTTGAGACGTCCAGGTGTCTTCCCTCCTTGACGCGGGCACGCTCAGCCCGCGAGATTGAGGAAGCCAGCGCGACCGAACGCTTTTTCCCATAAGCTGCAGGTCCGAGGTGGAGATTGAGGGGACGTGGTATGGCTGGGTTCGTTCCAGCAGCCGCTTTCTGGCATCGCGCGGCTGCTGGAACCATTCCCTTGTCTGCAGAAGAATTGGCTTGCGCAATAAATGGTTCAGGTCGTTGATAATACATTTATTTCCGAAACTTATAAATCAAGTGGCTTTCCCAAATTTCTTCATTACTGTTTGAAACACATCTCCTCTCATAGGTTGTTCATCCTATTTTGGACTCTTTTGCGTATTTATTCGTCCTTACCTCTCCTTGATGACTGTTTTATAACTTGATAAAGACCTTTAAATATTGGCGCGGGCTTGCGCGATCAACGCTGTCCCGGATTTATCCAAAATTGGAAAGATTGGCGTCAGGAAGGGTTGAAAAAGCAAACCGAAATTCTTGCTTACCTCCACAACGCCCCATCGTTTGCACTATCGCAACTTCTCAGTAACCGAGCTGTATACCACATTTTACTCATGGTTACTATATATGTGGCCCCACAGGCTGTCCCGTTATGAGCGAGTCGACTTTTTAACGACCGGCGACTCTCCTGAGTGAGAATAAATATTATCTCCTTCCCACAACATCCACCCCTTTCTCTCTACCCTCCCCCACCCCCCTTTCCCGAGTTGGGGAGATATTAGGCCACTCCAGGAAGCAGCCTGCAGGCTGTGCTTTTCGGCTACTCATTCTCAACGCATTTGAACGTGGAAGTACACACATCACATGAACGACGCCCTGTTTATTTGCAACCTAAATAATGTGGCTCTACTGTTGGGGCCCAATCAATTTCATCAGCAATAATTACTTGTTACGACTTCATGGTGAAAGCGTCTTCGGCGTGATGCGACAAAAGTGGTCGATTCATAGGGAGAAATAGGTCCTCGTATTTATTTTGCGGAAATAGTCGCTCCTGTGACGCTCTAGTGCGTAAGGTCAACGCACCCAGGGAAGTGCGTAATACTTTAAAATTGTCGTTGACGATGAAATATTTGTGAAAAGTGCGTAAAATTGTTTACACCACAAAAGCATACCTAAACACAACAAAATATCGCAATTATAATGCAATTAAATGCAAAGGGGCAAGCGAGCTAGATAATAATGATGAAAATAATCCCTGGAGAAGGGGAACAAGAGGGACAAGGGACAAACTTAAATCTCCAAACACAGCTCACCAGTCACCTAGCTGTGTTTGGAGATTTATGTTTGTCCCTTGTCCCTCTTGTTCCCCTTCTCCAGGGATTATTTTCATCAAAATATCGCAATTGCAAAAAAAAAAAAAAAATGCAGCTTGCGAAAATCGTTGTTTTCCCCCCTGTCTCTCTCTCTCTCTCTCTTTTCGCGCCACTACAAAAAATAGCGTTCGAGCAACGAAATTTTATCAAAACCTCGCTTCTTGAACATAGGACAGCAGGCTATACGGCAGTGAATCTGCCAGGGAGTTTGTAGAAATAATGGGCGACTATTGAATCTAGCCTTCTGCACGAATCATGCCCGGGATATTTCCATTTTCCTTCCAGGGGATTAGAAGGCAAGACGCTGAAGGAATTTATGTGCACTAACAGGCTGCTTCTACAAGAAAGTACCAGATTTCTAGTGCATGTCAGTCTACATGTAAATAGTTTAATCAGTGTGCACAAACATGCGCGGCCTGGAGGATGACATGGAAGCACGGCGGAAAGCAGCTTGCTGGAAATAGAAGTCTCTATTGCATTGCACTGGTGTGAAGAATTATTACGTATTTTTGTTTTATATCTGTGCGAAAATAAAAACAGCGTTTAGAAACCGAACTCTGTGCGTTTTGAGAAGCGCCGAAAGGACATAAAAAACCGGGACAACCTGAACAATACGACCTTGCGTCACTCAGCTTTTCATGGTTTCTTGTTTTTCCGGATTCTTTCAAAAGGAGATGAAAAAGTATGAACCGATTGACCCGACTTTCCACATTAGAGCAGTTCATTTTCATTCCGAGAGGCTCTCTTAGAGCGTCTTGCAAAGTTCAGCTTGTGCTGGTCCGTTTTTATTTTCGGTTTCTTTCAAAAAGTGAGCTCTAAGTCACTGGACCAACCTACCACATTCAAATTTTACGGAAGCGTAGAGGTGGTTGGGAGGGCCAAGCGGGCAAGGGTTGCACGCCTCTCGAACCACCGTCCGTTACCTTTGTTTAGTGGCTGGGCTTTGCGAGCAGAATGCGAGCTTGCTCGAGTAACTTGCATCCGTTCAGAAGATAAACCCCTCTAAACGACAATCTCCGCCGCCTGGGAAGAACGGAAGTGGCCGAACGAGACGTCTTAGGGTTTTGCGTCACGCCTGCATTTCAAGGGTCAGACTTACTGGTTCCCGACACCAGGACGATTGACGGCTCCGCCCACGTCTTTGATTGTATATTGATACGGAGAAGAAGGATAGGAGCGCGACGGCCCGCGGCCGTAGTGCGTTCTGGCTCGCGCTCTGACGGGCAATCAGATTAAAAACCTACCGCTGAAAACCACCCCGTGTATCATGGACGAAAACATGATAATCATCGAATGGGAGTGAACGTAGAAGTATAATGATCCGATACAAAGCTTCCCTTGATTCCTAAACGAATTATGCCATAGCCAAGTACACCTTCACATCAAATTGATAGACAGAATTGAAGAGAAGATTGTGTGTTTCTTGAAAGAGATTTCGGCCCCCTTCTATCCGGTCCGCTTTCCTATACGCCTTCAATAACGTGGGCGAATCTTTCCTTTTGTTGCATTTCCACTTCTTCGCTTCTGCAGATGATGAACCTGGTAGTTCGGTCCAGTGGCTTAGAGCTCACGTTTCGAAAGGAACCGAAAATAAAAACCGACCAGTACAAACTGGACTATGCAAGACGCTTGAAGACAGCCTGTCGTAATGAAAATGAACTGCTCTAATGTGGTAAGTCGGGTCACTTGGTTCATAATTTTTCATTCCCTTTTGAAAGGCTCCAAGCAAACAAAGAACAAGGACAAGCTCCGGCTGTCCCGGTTTTTTATGTCCTTACGGCGCTCCTCAAAACGCACAGGGTTCGGTTTCTAAACGCTTTTTTTTTTATTTTGACACGGAAATAAGACAAACATACGTAATAATTCTTCACACCAGTGCAATGCAATAGACTTCTATTTCCAGCACGCTGCTTTCCGCAATGTTTCCATGTCATCCTCCAGGCCGCGAATGTTTGTGCACAGTGATTAAACTATTTACATGCAAATCGACACGCACTATAAATCTGGTACTTTCTTTTAGAAGCAGCATGTTAGTGCACATGAATTCTCTTAGCGCCTTGCCTTCTAATTGCGTGGAAGGAAAATGGAAATATCCCGGGCATGATTTGTGCAGAAGGCTAGGTTCAATAGTCGCCTATTTTTTCAACAAACTCCCTGGCAGATTCACTACCATATAGCCTGCTGTCCTTTCTCCAAGAAGCGAGGTTTTGATAGAATTTCGGTGCCCGGCCGCTATTTTTTGTAGTGGCGTGAAAAAAGAGAGAGAGAGAGAGGACAACAACGATTTTCGTAAGCTGATTTTTTTTTTTTTTTGTGCCATTGCGATGTTTTGTTGTGTTTAGGTATGCTTTTGTGGTGTAAACAATTTTACGCACTTCCCACAAATTTTTTATCGCCAACGACAGTTGTAAAGTATTACGCACTGCCTCGGGTGCTCTGACCTTACGCACTAGAGCGTCACAGGAGCGAGTATTTTAGCAAAATTTGAATCGACCACTTTTGTGGCATCACGACGAACGTACTTCACCATGAAATCGTAACAAATAGGGATTGATGATGAAATTGATTGGGTCCCAACAGTGGAGCAACATTATTTAGGTTGCATATAAACAGGGCGTCGTTCATGCGATGTGTTGACTTCCACGTTCGAATGTGTTGAGGATGAGTAGCCGAAAAGCGCAGCCTTCAGACTGCTTCCTGGAGTTCCCTAACTCGGGGAAGGGTGGGGTGGGGGGGGGGGGGGGGGGGTAGAGAAAAAGGGGTGGATGTTGTGGGAAGGTGATAATATCTATTCTCACTCAGGAGAGTCGCCGGCCGTTAAAAAGTCAACTCGCTGATAACGGAAAAGCCTGTGGAGCCACATCTATAGTAACCATGAGTAAAACGTGGCATACAGCTATGTTACTGAGAAGTTGCGATAGTACAAACGATAGGGCGTTGTGGAGGCAAGTGAAGCAAAGACCTACCTTACGATTGTGCCGTCTTCATTAGTAGCAAGAATTTCTGTTTGCTTCTTCAACCCCTCCTGGCGCCAATCTTTCCAATTTTGGATAAATCCCGGACAGCGTTGATCGCGCAAGCCCGCGCCAATATTTAAAGGTCTTTACCAAGTTATAAAACAGTCATCAAGGAGAGGTAAGGACGAATAACTACGCAAACGAGTCCAAAATGGGATGAACAACCTATTGGAGGAGATGTGTTTCAAACAGTAATGAAGAGATTAGGGAAAGCCATTTGATTTATAAATGTATTATCAACGACCTGAGCCCTTTATTGCGCAAGCCAATCCTTCTGCAGACACGGGAATGGTTCCAGCAGCCGCGCAATGCCAGAAAGCGGCTGCTGGAACAAACCCAGCATACCACGACCCCTCGATCTCCACCGACCAAGCGGCCTCGGACCTGCAGCTCATGGGAAAAAGCGTTCGGTCGCGCTGGCTTCCTCAATCTCGCGGGCTGAGCGTGCCCGCGTCAAGGAGGGAAGACACCTGGACGTCTCAAGGTCGTTGTGGCGCTCGCAGCTAGCCGCTCATTCCGCGGTTTTTGAGGATTATCCCTACAGAAAAAGCCGACACAAAAGAAGCCCCTGCCGTTACGTGATTTTTGGGAGAGGGTGAAAAGAGGAGGGCGCGAGGGGCATTTTCCTACCTTGCGGAAAATGGTTTCGTTGGTCGGTCTTTAATACATTTCGCTTGGCGAGTAACGCAACATTGAGGCCAAAAGCTAAAGTGTGTAACCTACTATAGAAGTGAAAACAAAGCCTCACGTGTTTGGCGTCTTCTTGGTATTAGATGCGCAGAAAAGAGAACCCATATTGCAACGCTCCTTTCCGGAGAACTCGAATAGCTAAGCGTCTTGAACTTCCACATATTGTGTGGCAAGAGATAGGGCCACATAGTTGAAGCGTGGGAATTCATTTGTTTTTGCATTTCAATAAATTTGTTTCAGTTGTGCGAGTGTCTTTATTCTTGAAGTTGCCTCCGTCTAGCTGGTGCGTATACAATATTCAAACAAAAATTACGTAATTACATTTACAAATAAATATAATGGGAATTTTATATTTTTTATTTCGCCGCAGCAGGTCCCGACAGGGTCCCAACAGTTGTGAATACAAAGCTCAATGGCAAAAACAAAATATTAACGACGTCCCCCCACGACATTCGAAATAAGGATTTAAATCACTCCAAGGTTTGCATAAAATGCATCAGTGTTTGGTTGTCTGTGGTTATTTGAACCAGTAAGCGGGTTTTGACCTAAGGATTTCATTTTTTGACGCGCTTAATTCCCCAAAAGTAACACCTCTCGCCTTAAATGCTTGTGAGCGTTTTGTCTTTCAGTTGCCTGCAGGTTCATAAACTTGCTTACCCGAGCAAGGTGTGAGCTCCGGAGTCTCAATTGAAGCCAAGCAGAATCCGGCCAGAGCCAACAGTGTGCCGACGTGGACAAAGACCATGGTGTGCTCGGTTAAAGGGGCTCGACGTCAGACACGGTACGAGATGAGACCAGACTGGTATCGCATTTATATGCATAAATTGAGACTGTAGAAAAAAAAACGCCTAGAATAAAAACAAAATATACACGAGAGCCTTTGTGTAGCGGTATTAAAGCAAGAAAAAACTACTCACGGTTCACTTTAGGATATTGCATTTTGTCATGCCTGACGCAATATCGTAGTTGGAAAAACAGGTCAACGGCACCAAGGGGCACAAACAGGATGCAGCCAAGGCTAGGACCGAAATCTAAAATTAATAACCGGATGAATGCGAATGAAAGGCTGAAATGTGAATAGTGAAATGTTGACTCGGTATCAATTCGCAGAAATACATCCTGGCAATGATAGGAAGTTAATTCATTTATTTGCTTTTGTTAGAACCTGCGAAATCCAATTCATATTCTTTATTTTTTCTTCAAAAATAAAGGAAGGGATCGAGAGAAAAAAAAAACGCTAAATTGCTCACAGTTATCGGTAAAAAATAACATTGACTTTACAGGGCGCAAGAAAACAGAGCACATATCATTAATAACTTGTCATGATGTCTTGGTGCGATCACGCATGCTTCAGCGAATTATGTTCAGCTTGAACCATGGTAGTCTTGGAAAACCCTGTTCTATGGGCGTTACTGTTGGGCGCGTGCGACCCTTTATATTTTCGACTTCTGAATGATCCGCCGCAACACACCGTAAGCGCAGCTACGTTGGAATGTTGAGCACATCCGTTTATATTTCCTGGGGTTGCGCCTCGGCGCGCTGCGCGTCGGCGCGCATTGTACCGCAAGCATCTGGTTCCTGCCGGAGTGACGCCGTTCCGCACGAAATGGATTCCTTAGAACGACGTCTTCACGGACCATTAAATGTCTACCCTCATAAACGCTACCAATCTGAAGAATAGCGAACATGCAGAAAAAAAGGAGATGATACTTTACAAAGCCTTAAAATTACGGCATTTAGCTACAGGCGTTCTATTCCTTCTATATTCGAATTGACTACGAGGTAACTGACCAGTACTAAAGAGTATTCTGCAGTTTTCGTTTTTAAAATAATTTAAAACATACGAATGTGCTATTTGAGCAATCAACAGGAAAAGATAAAGCAATGACGCTCGTGTAGGTCGGAGTTCCAATTTATATAAAATAAGAAAAGGTAGTTTTGATTCTCTCTTTTCCCTGTGCTGTGGGTAGGTTGGTAGACCCTAAGTCAACGTGGAAGTATTTTAGTAACTTCGAATGGCAAGGCTCTAGATGGAAGTTGTCGAAGGAAAAAATCATGAAAGTAAAAACGTCCCTTGCCACGTGTAATTTATGCTTGAATCAGAAGGGTACACGCAGTGGAGGATTCAGAGGCGGATCCGGATGTCCTGACCCCCCTCGGGAAATACCTGCATCCGCCCCTGCGTACATACATTATGGTAAATCTTGCGTGTGTAACTAAAAGGTAACATTTTACAATTACAATTACTTTTGGTTAAAAATATTCGGTTTTATTTACCTGAATATACTTAACAAGAAAAGTAACTCCCTGCTACGTACAAAAAAAATCCTTTACATTACCGATTGCTTGAGATATTTCAAAGGACAGATTTTCTCGTGGTTGAAAACTTCCATTTCGTACTTTTCATTTCTTTAAATTAGAGACACCGGATTACAATCCACTCGTGTTCTTAATACACTAACTTTTGTAGATCATCCTCCTGACGGTTTCTTGGTTCGAGAATATTTAGTAGAAAACTTACAGAAACAAAGTGTGCCATTAGCGAGAGGAGGGGAAATTGGCAAGGGTTACAAGTAATTTTCGTACTTCCAAATGTAGTCGGATTACTTTTGCGGTTACTTTCTGATAAAAAGTAATCAAACGATTACAAAATAACGTTAAGCAGTAATCGATTACAAGTAATTTGATGAGTTTTAATGAGCACGTGCCGTACAAGTCTGATTCCGGTTTACATCATGCTTACTGAAGAGAAACCATGCAACACCGAAGCATGGTCTGTAAACATCACCTTGTTATTTTAATGTGACCTCGTATTCCTTCTCAGGTTCCACATTGCCTTAATATGGCACTGACGCGGAAACAAAAAACAAGTTTACTTTTAAAAGTCATAAATTGCACACTTCATTTTTTTTTTCCTTCTCCACGAAAAATGTTTTTTTTTTGCGAAATATTTACGCCGTTAGACGCAATTTAGGTGGATATCACGGTCCTAAGCCCCTCCCACAGATCACTGGCCCCGACCATCACTACTGGATTTCTTTTCTTTTCTTTATTATTCTTTTCTTATTCTTTTTTTAAATACACAATCGTAGCTTGGACCCATAGCCGTGGAGGCTAGTCGCGGGTCCAACATTAGAAATAACCTTTACAATGCGGCAGGCAAACAAAACAAATGTACGCACATGTCAAAGTATTCACAAAACAATATACATACTTATTGAGAAAAAAATATATAGGGCATGATATTGAACTTAATCATTGGCTCGCAATTTAGTTAAATACTTCTTTAAGGATGGCAATATATTGGGTTTACATTTGATGTCGGTAGGGATATCATTCCATACCAGGGCACCGTTGAATTCAATAAGGCTTTCTCCATAAACATTTCCACAAGATGGCAAATTAAACAGATTATTTGTTGCAGCTCTCGTATTCCGTGGCTTGGCTGCGTGGGCGAACACGCTCGCAAGCCTAGTGTCTCCCTGTCACGACGGCCGGTGGGTCTAGTTTCGCGTATCACACCGCCTGCTAGCCCGTGCGAGCAGACGCGCGGCACAGCCACTAATCTTTATGTCTATCTACTGGATCACGGTTGACCAGCTCCGCCTATGGACGGGAATGCGGCCACGGTCGGCCATCTTTTTAGTAGAGTTATATTATCTCTAGCCATCATAGTAATATGGCGGACAGAGCTGTGGCGGCAGGCTGCTATAAAAATAGCCGTGGGTCTAGTAGACTGTACCGTGGGTGATAGTTCTTGCTTGAAGTTGTTTGACGAATCAGATTCTCGAAACCCGGCGTGAACGGTAGCCCCATCTTTGAGGCACCGGGTGAAAGCAGCGCAGCTCGCATCGAAAGCAGACGCACTCTTAGAAAAAGGGGTATCCACAGTCCTCCCGAAAGGGAGGAACGGTCTTGTAACCTATGTTCCTACAGAAAGGAAGAAACTTTCGTCCCTAAAGCAGGGGAGCAAAAGTTCCTCCGTCGCCTGCATCTCATTATAGCGGCCCTGAATCGAGCACATCGAGCTCAATAAGGCCTATTGAGGACGCTACGTCTCTTGCACAGGACGAGAGGAGGAGCAAATAAGAGCGTAACAGTAGCTTTCCGCGCACTGTGCTTATTTCTGAAGCCAGCTCCCCCCCCCCCCCACCCCCCCCCCCCCCCCACAGGCAAAGAGTCTTCCGTTTTAAAAATGGTTACTCAGTCTTCTCGTCGTCAGCACTGCGATGTTAAACGGAGACCACCGATACGCAGTTACGTCGCGCACGTTACGTCTTACCTTTGCTATTCCTCGAGTCACAATGCCTTCGTAAACTGCAAATCACGGAGTGGTAAACCATTCGTGATACCGAAAGCCGCTCTAAAAAGAGCGAATTCGAAGCAGTTGTTCCACGATAACCATTGCGCTGAACTTTTGCCGAATCGGAAATTCGGCGACGATTCTTGGGACTCAGCAAAGTCGAACTTTTGCCGAACCTTTCTCAAGATTCGGCAATGAATTGTATTTGACTGGAGTCTGCGGCTTTCCCCTTTGCATCGGGTGATCAACAGTAATTGATACTGGATCTAACCTGGTCAGTCGTGCCTCCCGCGACTTCCGCTTCCGCTTGGTGTTCCGTTGGTCGGCTGCAGTCCCTCCGCCGATGTGTCTCTCTCCACCAGACCTCCAGCCGCCTTTTCGTCACCTCTACCGCCGGCCGAACGTTCTTTTGTTCTTCCTCTCCTTGCTCTTCACCGATACGGAACCCCAGTGCTACTGGTAGCACCGTCGCACTGGGGACCGGTACAATCTGCTGGCAATGCAGCACCAGATGCTCCGTCGCCTCGTCGGTCTGCCCGCAGATTGTGCACGTCCTCTCCTGTACTTCCGTGAACCTGGCTCTCCACACCCGGGTCCGTAATGTACCCATGCGGGCGTCTGCAAGGAGTCCACTTCTTGTCGAGTTGTCGTACCAGGGCTCTTTCCTTATGGCCTCCTTCTCTGCGTAGTACATCACGTGGGACGGCTTCCCCGCCGCTCCCGTTCTCCACCTCTCCATTTCCACTGCTCTGATGCCCTCGCTGATTACCACTGGGCCCACCCGGGTCTCGCACGCTGACTCCAGCCAGATCGATTCGAACCCATAGCGGTCCCGCAGCCTTCGGAGGCGGTGCATCCATTTGGAGCCTCTTTCCTGGTATAGCATGTAGCGCAGGGTGCGGTGGGCCCAATTCCTATCCGGGAGTCTGTGCACTCTCATCTCGTACAGTGCCTTGGCACTGGCTTCTCTGGCTTCAAAGGACGACCAGCCTAGGTCCCCCTGGATACCTTCGTTGGGTGCTGTTTTTGAGACTGCCAAGGCAATCCTTCCCACATTTTTCTGTCTTCTCTCCAGGAATTCTCTTGTTTGCGACGAGGGGACAAGCACGCCATTCGCGTACGTGAGTCCCAAAACGATGGCCATGTACCACAGTCCCCGCACCATTTCGAACCTGATGAAGGTGCAGGTCGTCTTCTTCGCTAGGACTCCTTTCCCCCTTATCGCTTCTAGTCTCTTCTCCCGTACATGGGCCTTCAGGTAGTTGGACTCCGCAGTCAGGGTCGCTCCCAAGCAACCCTGTCGGGGTTTTGTCTTATCAACTTCCCTCCCTGCGGGTGCCACCGTTGTTCCTGTGGTTCTTGATTCCGTCTATCTCGATCTCCCCAGACTAAGACCGCACATTTGCTCTGGTGGAAACGGAGTCTAAGGTGCGTGTTAAGCT